TGTTCTATTTTTGGATTGAAATCAATTTGGTAATGGTGAATTATAATTTTTTTTTACATAACTTTTGGATTGAAATTAATTATGAACAAGATCTGGAAAAGAAAATTGTATTTTCACAAATAATCAATAATTGAAGGTGACTTACCATCTCGAAAATCCTGATCTGCCACTGGATGGGACATGGCCAAAGTGGTCTAGAGATTTCAGTTGACTAAGGAAGTCTAGAATTATGTTGTTGACTTTTGCTTCAATGGACGTCGGTCGTTGAGGAGCTTGAGATAGTGTGAATGCGGGATGCGGCTTAGATTTGTCCAAGTAATATCCTTCACCAATTGTGTTATGTATGACATGTTGTTACGGACTTTTAATTAATTTAAGTAAAGGTTATTGTTGGGCCAAGGGTCAAGCCGTTAAGGTATACGACAAGATAAAAGCTGCACAAATGAATATTCTAAAACTAGAGCGTAATGCACGAGTTGTTACAAATTTTATACTTCCTCCTCCGTAACATTAAAGCACAACACGTAGTGTTTTTTTTTTTTTTGGATAATAAAGGATCTTATTGAAGCAGTACCTATATAGAAGATTGAGTCAGTGTAATTACGCATAACAATACTGAAAGTAGAGAAGAGAGGTAAGGAAATTCACTCCTTCGAGCAAATGTAGTTAGTGGGGCTTAACAAAGTCACAAAGTGAGTTTCCCACCAACTTCACCAAGTAGATTTGCATTAAATATTACTGTGTGTTTAGACCTTTTTTTTATGCATTAAAAGTACTAAATGCGTATATATTTAAATTGAGATTTTATATACTTTTAAAAAAAAAATATTCCTTTTGATTTTTTTTTTCCCTCACAAAAGAATTTCAATTAAATATAACAAAAAAAATATTTGAAGAGAGTACTAGTGTACTACTACTTTGAAATCTCATACAAGTACATGAATAGATTTGTTCATTATTAAAATTAATGATTTTTTTTAAGGTAAAGAGTACCCTAGTTATACCTCAATTCTCACGATTTTTTTGGTACGGTATTTAAGGTTAGACATTTTATTTGAGAGTGAAGGAAAAAGGGTAAGAGATCCTCACCTAATGGAGATTGAACCCCAACCTCAAAGGTTAGAAGGTGTAATTTTTCCCACTTAACCACCATGTTCCAACAAAAAAAGTTACAGTACCAGTGCGCTTACCTCATGGTATAAAATTAATCAACAATCACCATTAAAAAAAAAAATCATTACAATATTATTAAAGGAAATCGTAATCGTATTCTGTCATTACTTTGTCTGCCGGCACTTTATAGTGGACTGAAGAGAAGAGTTGGGCTCCACTAAAACTTCAGATAGATGTATCTGGACATTTCATTCATTAAAATATTTATAAAGGAAGTAGCCCAGGAACCTCAGTTTAAGGTTTGGATGATTAAAGTTGCATGAATTATAATTTATGAATTATTGTTTAGTCCTTCCTACTTTACTAATCATAGTCCATGCACTCAGTTTTTGAATATGAATTCTTCAATACTTTTCCACAAATGAGCTTAAGAGATTTTTACATATTAGTTTTAGGGTATGTTACACCCTATATTAGTGTATAGTTATCAGACCTATGTATTGAGCCCTAATCAAAGTTATATATATATATTTGTTTATACTCTAATAGAAAACAAACGGCATTATTTTCTCTATTCTCTCTAATCTTAACAGGGTAATTAATATATGTAGTTATTAGGGTTATAAATTTTTTAATTTGTGAAGGGGTAAATGTTTTTCCAATTAACCTTTCATTTAATCATCTCTGTACAACTAATTTATGGGGCAAAATTTTTTTCCAACTAACCTTTTATTCAATCATCTTTGTACAACTAATTTACTAACGATTCCTTAGTAATACTTCGATCCATACACAATATGTAGTATGAGTAATATGAATTGCTATAAAATTTACAACCGGTGTGTCATTAAATTATTGCATTAGGCTTCTTATAAGGAGTACGTACTCTATTTGACCTTCTTCGTAATTCATAAAGGTTGCCAACTCTACGGAACAAAATTGGTAATCTGATACTGGGTGTATTCTATTTTCAAGTTAACCAAAAGATATTGAATTAGACTTGGACAAAAATCAAATCCAACAGGTCGGGTTCACACAAATTAAATGTCATTATCAACGTGTGATTATGACAAATCGGGTATTTGTGATAACTTGGTAAAAGTAAGATCATCATGATTTGGTTATTTCTTGCTCTCCAAGTTGCGGATAGAATTGTCTAGTGTCAACGAATGTAGCAAGCAAACAGTTGAATACTACATAATGTTTGAATATTCAGCAGTCAACCCTTACTTACCTTCATTTTTCATACTAATCAAATGAAGTAAATTAACAACTTTTACTTACCTTCATTTTTCATACTAATCAAATGAAGTAAATTAACAACTTCTATAAATGACTGATCACATGGTATGATTAGTTACTATAGGAGTTATTTCGTTAGTGTTTAGGATTTACTTAGTCAATGTTACTGGGTCACTTTGTCAATGTTATAGGGGTTACTTTGTCGATATTATAAGATTACTCAGTTAGTATTATAAGCGTTACTTTGTTCATTTACAAGCGGCATATGGTGTGGTCAGTTGCACACAAAATGTGACGATAAATTAATAATATAAGAGTAAAATTAGTTATTAAAGAGTTAGATAAGGCCATAAGGGTGATCTGTAATTTTAAATAGAAAAGTAGATTCTTTTGATAACTTTAGTTATTGTGATGTTTGCTTCTTTAAACTCTCCAACACTTGTAAATAAATAAATATATAAATAAATAAATTCATAATTCAAAATTCAGTCACATTATGGTTGATACGTGCTCACATTAACGTGTAGACTCTTACAATTAGTCAAAAATACTTGTGATATTTTAGAATGTGTAACATGTTCTTATGATACTTGAGTAAATTGACCAAACATCGATAAAAAGTTTAATTAAAATTATAAAGATGCGGGGTATAAAACTAGATGATGAGATTGATGATCCTCACCCTAATTTCATACGAGTAGTATCTGATCTTGAATCTTCTAAAGTAGTCAAAGTCCTACTAGTACTTGTTAAGCTAATGCCTTTTTTATATTCCCTCAAAAATATATAGAAACAAAAAAGTTTATACTTGTATACGCTGAATTGCTGCTGATCAAGATAACCTTTGACCAATGTTGTCCAGCTCTTGCTCAAACAAGTATAATAATAAATCAATAGTCTCCGATAATAATGTCAAATTCAACCGGGTTGTTCAAAAATCCTTTACCCTCTTAAAAAATACAGAAACATTTAAATAACAATAACTATCTATCTCGACTAACTTCTTCAATAACTTTGAAGGAAAATAATACTACCTCTGTTTTATATTGTTTGCGGCGATTTGACATAAAGTATAAGTAGAAAATGACTAATCGTTGCAAATAATATGAAACGGAGGTAGTATATAGTGTGCAATAACATAGATACCTTCTAAATTATAAGATCACTTACAGCAATGAAGTTTTTCTTATCTAGAATTTTTTTTTCCGCTAAAATATTACCTCACCAATGAATTTTCCCATAAAATATCTAGAGAATTTGGGAATTTTTTCTCTTAGAGAAAAAATTATCACTTTCCCTCTTAGTGAAATTTGCTGACAAAGGGTGGGGTTGGTGAGCGAATTTTTGGGTTTGTTATTGGTGGGAGAGTGGTGAGAGAATTTTTGGGTTTGTTGTGGGATGAAAAAAATTCTTTCATTAAAAATCTAATGTGAAGGAGAGGGAAAGGGGGAATTTTTTTTTTCTTCTTTGGTGAGAGTGCTCTAATAATTGTAAGAATAAATATAACCTTCAACCAACTCAAAATTGGCAACTATGAGTAATTTGGGGCCTGTGTGCAGGCCAATCAGAGACAAACATTAGACTACCTTGGAGAAGGTTTGGCACATAGCTCTTATATGCAAACATTGCATATAGGATGACAATGTAGTAATAAAGTTGAAGTTGGGAGTAATCGGAGTATAAAGTACCATTTAATAGGTAAATAGTACCATTAAATGTTGTACTGGTATAAATATTATGCTAATAGTACAAATAAGTATATAAATGGTACTTCAAAATATTATACCACTCTGAGATTTAATAGTAATACTAAGACATAATGGTACAATATACATTCATAATAGTACAAAAAATGTACCATTATAACCATAAAAAGTACCATTTTGGATGTCAAAGCTCAGCGTTTTTCCACTTTTGCCCTCCTATATGCAAAAAAAACATATAGGGACTATGCGACTAGTGGGAATAGACTACCTTAACAATGTGAACTATGTTTTCCAAAAAAAAAAAACAATGTGAACTACTCCCTCCGTCCCATAATTACAGACAAATAACTCTAAAAAGTACGGTTTTTAAAGGGGGATGGAAAAAGTAGAGGAACATTGTATGAAAAAGATAAAAAGTGAAGAATGTTGTATGAGAATAATAAAAAGTACAGAATATTGTATGAAAAAGTTAAAAAGTAAGTAATGATTTTTTGGGTATGTGTGTATTTTGTATGAAAAAAAGAAAAAGTAAGTAATGATTTTTTAGGTATGTGTGTAATTTGTATGGAAAAGCTAAAAAGTAAGTAATGATTAGGTGTTATTTTTAGTAATAGGAGGAACATTTTGGGACACTCAAAATAGTATATTTGCCTGTAATTATGGGACGGAGGGTCTGTTGTTGAGATTCTTCAGAATACTCCGTATGATTTTTATTTCTGTTTTTGAGCTTCATTCACATCTACCACTGTACTTCATATTTTCCTTTCTCCGTGTGTATGTGCACCCGTGTGATACTACATCAATGCATGTGTTGCTATATGGTCTCTAACTCTCTATCAAAACTTATTTTTAATTTAATTAAGATTTTTCTGCCTGAAACTCGAAAAAGATGGTGCGAAAAAGACTGATTCTGCAAGTCACCCCCAAAACAACATGATCTGGATTCATCATTATGTATTCTATATCATACTTGACTTGAAAGAAGCTTCATTATAAACATGTGCTCCAGTACATGTATTACAATCATCAATCAATAAGAAGCAAAACAAAGCTTCTCTCAGATTTGCAGGAAGGCGGTATACAGAAAAGCCTCCCTTTTACAACATAGATTAAGACCATCTACAATACTATCCTAGATATATCACATGAAAAACCTCCTAGCTGACCTAATAAGATCAAGTAGAAAGTGATCTGCAATAGTATTGTGACTGAGCATGGTATAGTCAAAATGTCAGATGTGACATTGCACCTTGCTCACTCTGATATATTTGAATCTAAACTCTTTTTGGCTCAAAATCTACTTGAAATCGTAGACCACGAAACAGATGAAAGACTGAATTATATGTTACATAATGATTTCAATATTACAGATTGACACTACAAACATAGGATCATAAGGATAGTTATCAGCTTATCACTGTAATCAGGAGGGTTTCCAAAAGGAGAGGGCACAGAAGATTCTGCCCTTCCAACCTTGGAGCATCCACTGTCTGTCTTCATCCACGAGAAAGTCTTTAAGATAATTTGCCTTTACCATGGCCTTTGTTTTACTCACAAACTCCCTGTCTAATGGTACCTGCTGTAATCCTGCCCTTAATGCACGCTCCTGCCACTTTTTGTATGTTTCAGGCCTTTGTACTCTCTCCGCACCCTCACACGCTACAACATTAACAATTTCTTTCCCATACATCTCGCTCTCAATCAGCAATCTTTCATGTGCATCGCGAGGTAAAGTTGCATCAAACACTTCAAATGCAGCAGAATAGTGAAAGAGTGCCTCCTTAAATCGATTGATGAAGAATGGAGCAGTGAATGTACCATTCACAATTCCATGTATGAAAAGATCAGGATTCATATTTCTTATCAACCTTAAGAAAGCATCTTTCGGACTATTTGGTTCAACTGTCTCATCAAGTAGTGTTCCGGATCTGAACATACAGTTCACAATCACCATTTCATCACTCTCAATCTTCAGGTCTTCTAGCTTTATATTTTCCCATTTCTCAGCTATGCCCTGATACTTGAAGGGCACTCCAAATCTTTCACAATAACCTGATAGCCGGCGTCCTGTAGCATTAACCCTTTCTGCTGGCCGAAAACCCTGCTGAGGAAAGTCTATTCCTGTAATACGAAGTTCTGGTGGACCATCTGGTCTTTGTGAAAGTGCCTGTATGAAGCAGGGCCACTGTAGACCCAAAAATATACCAAAATCAATAATGTGGATTTTGGTTGCTTTCTCGGTCAACTTTTTAATGGTATTGTTGGCTAGAAAATAAGACATCCTTTTGAAAGGAATGGCTGAGACATAGAGCCGGTAGGATTTTAAGAAATCGGATGATGAGATTTTCATATCACAGATATCAGTAGAGATTGTCGAACCAGTGCCTGCTAAACGCGCCTCTAGACCATTAGCAACATGATGGGCAACCCTTTGGATGCTATCACCATATGGCGAGGAATACTGTCTAATTTGCTTAAGCAGCTCATTAGCCGACCTAAGATCAAAACTTGAAACTGCTTGCGCACATTGAACCAAAAGATTCCTTAAATCAACTTCATCCACCTTGATGCTTTGCTTCTTCCCACGAGCTCCTCTACTTCCATGACCCTTTGTCGTTGATAAACATTCTTTGGGACTTAAAGAGGCATGCATCTTGTTTTCACTACAAAGCAATACATCATCATACTGCTCCAACTCAGCATAATCTTCACTACTAGAGGCTTGAAGTTTGTTACACCTTCCTCCTTCATGATCAACATCATCCCTTTGACGACTTTTCTTCCTCCTCAAGCCCTTAACCGGCTTCTCCCCTTTCTTGGGAGCAGTCGATAAGGGCTTCTTAGGGACAACAACATCATTTACTACCCCATCATCGCCATCCTCAGAGCTCGAGCCAGAGGATTGTGGATTCAATTCCAAGAAGGATTGAACAAAATCATCCACATTGAGGTCTAATTGAGGTTGGCTATGACTCAAATAAGTCAAATTGGACTCAAAAGAGCTAAAACTCTTACCAGAAGAACTATCATCTACGGATATAGTGTTTGGATCCGAAGTTGACGGGGAATAATGAGATGAAGGAGGGTATTGATTTTGGAATGGGTATGACTCCCCAAGAGCATCATACAAAGATTTTTCAGTGGCTTGGAGAGCCCAATGCTCTTGTGCAGAGGCAGGATTCTCATCCAAATCTTCCTCTAAAAGAATATCACTTATGAATTTAAGACAATGGTCAGGAAAATCAGGTATTTTCAAACAACTACTATTGCTCTCATTTTGATCAATTGAAAGAGTATCCAAATTAATCGAATCAGGAGCTTCTAAGCTGATTTTGCTCTCATTTTCTTCAAATTCAAGGGTTTGAGGCTCAACAAATTCAGGGGTTTGAAAGAAATCTCCAAAAGTTGGGTTCTTTAGATAATTTGAACCCATTTCTGCTGGGTAGAATTTGAAGGCAGAGTTCATGAGATCAGAATCAACAAGTACAGAATTCATGGTAGAAAAAGGAAAAAACAGAGTATTTATGGTTTTTCACACAAGCAAATGATCAAACAGGTGGTGGGTGTTACAGAAAACCCAAAACCACCAACAAAATCAGCTAAAAATCAATCAAAAAACAAGAAATCAAGGGATAAATGAACAAATCGAAAGAAAGAAGCAAGCTTTAATTGAATTTTAAATGTAGTGAGAAGAGTGATGATAGAAGTACCTGAAGAAAAATGAGGAAACTAATGAACTCAAGATTGTAACTTTGAATCGATCATAACCCTTATAAGTAGAGGTTGAAATTGTACTGTGCCAGTAATAGTATGAAGCTTCATGGAAGGAGCTTCAAGATAATTAAATACGGTCAATGTGATAACGACAGCATTAGTAGAATGTTGAGTGAACCAAGAAAAAATAAAGGCAAATTTGAGAAATACGAAGTAAGTTGCTACTTTTCTTTCTTGCTCCCCAAGTTTAAATCCTAAATAATTGCATGTGAGTATGCGACTATCATATACGAAGTACTATATGTGAGGACAAAGTCTAGAGGAATAGTCGTTAATATGTTGAAGGGTTTGCCAAATTTAGATTATATATTATTAATAGTATGATTGGCGTTGGCTTGTTGCATGATTGTTATTTCTTGTAGTTATGACAAATTGAGACCAATTAGATGGTTACATGTCATTACGAAAGTTGTTTTTATTGATTTGCTTAATGGCTAAGAGGATATGTTTTTTAATATTGTTTTATTGATATACTCGTAATATTTCAATAGTAAATACGTAATATGATAATAGCATTTTTGACTCAAAATATATATGTTGTAACAACTCATAAGTTTTCTTTTACACTTCGTTGAGAAATACACCCATAATGATGCGCAACGCATGCATGACAAGCTCTTTAATTTCTACACAATTAGTGTGCGATTTATTCGGCTGTTTTTCACTTAATCACTTATGGGGTAAATGAACTTAGTCGAACTAATCTGGTCATATAATAACTGATTTTAACTGTACATTGAGCTTGAGTGATCTTTATTAACCCTTACAAGAACTTATATTTATTAAACATATTTTGATTTATTTATACTTATTTGAATTTTCAACCCTATTCTGAACTAATTTTTCTTGAAAAACAAGTGAAAATTAGGAGAATTAAATAAGGTAGTCTTAGTCAAGTAGTCCCCACGTCTCCTCCTATGTCTTTAATATATCCTTGTTGGATGACCTTAAATCAACACTAAAGTAAAGTATATACGTTCGATTCAAAATTAGTTCTATGTCTTTCTAGCATAGGACGATCAATAATAAGCTATGCTCTATATTTTTACTTCATATATGATAGTTCTGTTATATGGAGTGTCTAATCTATTACAGAGCATTAATCTTCTTTAACCAATTATATATATACAAAGTATATTAGAATAACTTTAACGACTGTTTTATCTTATAAAATTCAACTTTGATTACAGAGTATAAATATCTCTCATTGTATATAGAGGAAAACTTTTACAAATTCATATTGTAAAAGTACCTCTTATTAATACGTTATATCTACCTGTATGTTGTTGTATGAAATATAATATTAATGCAGTATATTTTACAAGTAAGAAAACCAATATTTGGTCAATGTTGATTCTAAAAAAGCTAGAGGAAACAAAATTATATAAACTAGATGGAAGCCTGTGCGATGCACAGTTTTTTCGTCTAAGATTTTTAATTATTTGATTTATTGTATTTAATAATTTCAGATAAAATTACAGAAGTTTAATTTTATTTTATTTTAAATTTTTTTTACTATAATTTATAATGAATTTATTAAATATAAATAAATTGTAAATATGATATTTTTTTTGTTATATAAAATCTTTAATGTGAAATGATAAATTTTTAATAATTTAAATCCTAAATCATTATTCATTGTTTTACCATATCTTTTATTTCGATAGAATCACCAACCTCGTCCACAACCAACCTACTACATTAATGGATAAATTGAACTGTGAAATGTTAGCCAAACTGAAATTGATATAAATTAAATCTTTACATTTATATAAAATAAATCAATATATTTACCAATAAATGAAAAATTGTTGCGATTTTAAATCAAATCTATGCATTGGAATTTTTTCATCATTTTCAAAAATAACCAAAGCTATCCATATATTAAGTACACAACATCTAATCGTATTCCATTACATAAACAAATAATTGTTAAGTATCCTAAATAAATACAATGTAACTAATAATTACAAATACAAATTTAAACATAAGATTTTAAAAATTACCCGGATATTGATGACCTAAAACTAACATAAAATTACTAACACAAAATTCGCTTGATGGGGTTTTGTATTGATACGAAATTTTATTTGTGTTGTATGATGTGTTAGATCTGCATGTAAAAAAATATTTAGTAAATAAAACATAAACATATAATCCTTGAGTATCCCAAATTAATACAATGTAAGTAATAAGTAGAAATACTTATTTAAACATAGGATTTTAAAAATTAAGCTAAAAATTACCCCGCCATTGATGACAAAAAATTAATACAAAATTACTAACACAAAATCGCTTGATGGGGTTTTTTATTGATACAAAATTTTGTTTGTGTCGTATGATGTGTTAGATCTGCATGTAAAAAAAACATTTAGTAAATAAAACATAAACATATAATCGTTGAGTATCCCAAATTAATACAATGTAAGTAATAATTAGAAATACTAATTTAAACATAGGATTTTAAAAATTAAGCTAAAAATTACCCGGCCATTGATGACCAAAAATTAACACAAAATTACTAACACAAAATTCGCTTGATGGGGTTTTTTATTAATACGAAATTTTGTTTGTGTCGTATGATGTGTCAATTTATAATGGTAGGTATCACAAATTTTAATTTAATTATAATTAACGAACAATTTGTATTTCTTATCATAAATACTATCAAAATTTATCTTATAATGATAAGTATCAAACTTTATTATAAGCGTTTATTATTTAAATATTTCTTAGTATATTTTTTTTTGGATTTCTTATACTTGTAGTATTGAATTAATAAATTTATCTTTTCCTATATTTTTACTTTATTTTTTTTTCATTAAAATAATTTAATTCTTAGATTATAATCTACGTGGCATTAAAATTTTAGATATATCAAATCTAATTCGTTACTTTTATCTAGGTGGCGACATAATTTTTTAATTCAAAAATAAAATACAAATCTTTCTTCTTATTGGTCGAAATAAGTATATTTCTTACGTAGCGCTCCGAATGCTCTCCAAAAATGTCTACTTTATTTATATAATATATTAGATTCGGATAAAGTAGTTTATAGAGATATTAGAGGGACTTTATTAAAAGTGAGCCAAACAAATGACATCCTAATCCCAACTTCTTTGTTTCCACTTTCCAGAGTATGTATCTAGACATGCATGATCTTTTCCTTAAAGCTAACCTCCTAATTAAACTATGGTCAAGGTTTCATTTAAATAAGTGGTTGAATTAACAACTCCTTCTATGTTGTATGTAATTGTCCTCATTGGCCTAGCATAAAGTGGATATATGATTATAAAACTAGCTCGATATTTACATAAGCAAGTTGCCTTCTAAAAGAGAGAGACAATTAGTTTTAAATTTAGAACTTATTCTCTTCACCTGAAAGAAAGAGATCTGGCCTGATTTTATTAAAGTCTGATCTTGTTTGATCTAAATTTTTATTATCTGACCTGGTATGATCTGATTTAATAATTTTACTAAACTTTGACTGCATTTTAACACTAATCTATAAAGAAAAACATCATCAAAATGGATCTTGTTAGATTTGTCTCAATATGAACTTTTCAAATATGTAATTTTCATAATTTTTTTAATACGCAATTAGCGATATTTAGCAATAAGTAAATGATAATTAAAAGTTCTGATCTGAATGTTTCTCGTCTGGTCTAATCTGATCTAAATTTATTAAGGAATGAGTAATAAATATCTGAAACAAGTTGAAGAGAACAGTCCTTAGTGACTACAAATAATTATAATTCTAGTGATGAAATGTTAGATTATATATGAAAATGGACATGACCCTGAGCAATCCACCCTGAGCAATCCAAACAACAAGGAGAATTTGGTTCATATGCAAGACCAAAGAATTGAAGGTTCCATGCTAAAAGCTATCATTAATAGTACCGATAATCCCTTCATTTTATAAAATGGTATTTTATGTATGTCATGTTTCTCCAATATATGATACGGAGTAGTGATATATATTACAGTGAGAGGATTACAAAAAACCTGTCTGTGTTTTTCAGTCACCCACCCTAGTGGTATAATTCCTCAATGCGTTGAGATTATTTGATTCAAAAATAACACCCAATCAGAGTCAGTGTTGTTGACATTTTTAATAGTGGTCAAATTTAGCCAATGCATTATAATTGGCCAAAAGAAAGCACAGAAAAGATTAATTTATGTAAAAGCATCTTTAATAAAAATTGATTGGGTATATTGCAGTTATTGGACACTTGGACTCTTGCAGTCTAGATAATTAGTTACAAACTTACAAAATTTAAGATAAACTAATTCAATATCTGACCAAAACAAAGATGGCAACTTAGCCGCCGACCCCACATTTTTTCTAATTCATGGAGTCATAGTGCACGAGCAAGGATTAAAGGAACACAACATCTGCTGTACATTTGATTGTTATATTTGCTTATTTAAAATTTTTAAATGATTAAAAAATAATAAATGAACATAAGATGCATTCGAATATATATATATTTTACTTACAAGGGACATGCTAAATCTCAGGAAAAATATATGTAAGAGATGAGTATGCAATGATTAGATTAAAATTAGTCTAAACTAACTTGTGTAATAAGACGTTTTTGCTAGCTTTGTATTACGTACGCATATTTAATTTGTAAGGGTTTTTTTTTTTTTTTTTTTTTTTTTTTTTTTTTTTTTTTTTTGTAAAAAAAAAAATACTTTTAGTATTAAAAAAATTTATTTAAAAACATTAAAATAGTGTGAGATAGAATTTTAGGAGATTTCAACTTGGTTTCATTTTTTTTTTAAACAAAAAAAAGGAAAAAAACAAAAAAACAAAAATAGAGCTAGTTTGAAATGTAACTTTTGACTTGGGAAAATTTAGAACAAGAAGAATGGCAAAATTTGAACCAATTGAACCCTTTATTAGGTTGCTTGAAAATACCTAATTTTAATTGAATTTTATTACAATCTAAAAAAAATTGAATTTTTGAGAGATTATTTCAAGATGGATAAGCTTGAGTTGAATTTTAAAGAAAATATATACGAAGTATTAAATATTGTAATTTTATAATTGATAAGGGAGTAGTTTTTTAGTATAAAATATAAAGTTGTGCTGATTTCAAATTAAGTTAAAGTATATTTATATTAATAACACAAAAATAGGGTGATGTATTGTGAAAATTGATAATGCCAGTGGAAACACCTAAATAACTTATATGAGTAATCTCAAAACACCTAAACTTACTTATAAGAGTAATTCTTAAACATTTGTGTTACATGTACAACAATATCTTTCCTTTTATCTTACCAATTATTGTTAAGTTTTGTATGCCAACTCACTTCTTCATATAACTTTTGAGCACCTTTATTTTAATTTGCCACACAACTATTAATTGTAAAATAATTTAGGCCCCGTGTCATGTACGGTAATTCTTGTTCTTTTTTTAAGAAAATTTATTATATCTAACAACTAAACTTGATAAAACATACACTACATCAAATATATAGAAATTATAGTGTCATAATCGATATTAAAAGGCAAAGTAAAGGTTTAATATATTTTTTTTAGATACGTTGTAGTAAATTTTCCGAAACAAAATTGTCATTACTTTGAATGTATATTTGATATTTAAATTGAAATAAAATATTATTAGAGGTATTTGACAAAAAAAAAAGTGGTGTTTTAAAGTTATTTTTTTTAATATCAGTTATATGAATCAATTTTATTATTACTTTTTTGGCAAAATCTTATAATACTCCATTTAAAAGATAATTAAAAAATAATTGAAATAATAGTTTAGGCAAATGTGTATGGAAGAATTAAGAACACCAACTTAAAAGGAATACATTTATTATAAAGATAATATAAAAAAGTTGAAATAATATTATTATAGTGGTACTATACAAATATTTCAAAAAATAAAGATTTTGACTAAAAAGGAAAGGGAAGTTTTGGAAAGAAAAAACAACACCAGAATGTGACACGTATCACTCTCGGTGTCTGTTTTAGTATTAAATTATTGATTAATGATTGATTGATTGATTGATGATTGATTTGTAATAAGTAGTATTCAGTTTAGGAATAATGCATATGCATGCATACATAGCATATTAGCGAATTGAACTTATTGTATAGTTCTTACTCCATCCCTTCATTAAAAGTTCTTCATGTTTATTTGCATGTTTGTCGGTACATATCTTTTAACATCTCTAGTTACTTTATAGTAAATTTATTTTAATTTTTTTTTTTGATATTTTGTTAGCAAATTAGCACTCATTGAAACAAATCAAATACGAAGTGGAGTACATTTTACGTACTCTTGTATATAATTAATTGCAAGACTTTAAATGAGAAGAGCATTTAGAGACACGATAAGTAGAATTATATTGATGTACCTTTTAGACTAATAAATTGCAAAGGTTTTGGATGTTGAGAACTTGATCTTATGATTACAAGTTTGGCAAATATATAAAAGCTTTCAAATTCAAAATATTATAAATGAAGCATTGAAGACACCAAGATGCGGCGGGACTTATAGTTTCTCACTAAACTTGTCACACAAAGCTGCGAGTTAGTCAAATAAAGTACTCCGTATATCCAAGTGTTATGGCGTATAATATAAAGCTCTCAATTTTCATCCTCCAAAACTTTTTCAGCTTCTTTTTATTTCCCTGTTTCTGCATTACTTTGAGTCTTTGACTGACCAAACTATGACTGCATCAGCAACCCTAAAGGCCTTAATTAGAAAGTTAGCAGTTATATTTCCTTAGTAGTTCAACCAAGACAACCCAATTAGCATCATATTACTTATGCACGGCAACAATACTTCTTTGATTTTTTGAGTGTAACACTTTACTAAATGCGGCCGTTTTTTTATAAGTGTTATACTTCTATTTTGACACTCAAACTATTCATTTAAACATTATTTTTCTCTCCTTCCATGACCCACACTTAAACCCTGTTACTAGCTACTTTTTTTTTTTTTTTTAATTATTTCTTTCCCTAAAATTCCTTAAAATATTTACTCCACTATCTTTTCTTATACTACTATTTTTAATACCCCAACTACCCCACTTATATTTTTTTTTTTAATATTAGGTCAATTAATTTACGTAAAACTATGTAATGGTTTAAGTGTAACACTAAAAAAATATGAAATGATTATTACAAATTATTTTGAGGTTAAGCTATTTATACTAAGCGCAGCGCTCATCATTACAACAGAATGGAAATGCTCTAACAACTTGCATTAACAAACTAACCAACTCCCTGAGTTTGATAGGACACTAGTAACTAATTTCATAGTTTATTACAGTAGCCATATATATTCTGTTATCACACCAAGAACTCTAGAAGCTTCTAGGAACTTCAGTTAGCCGGCTCAGCATATCAGCCTGAATCCGTGTGATCATGCTGCACGAACATGAGGATCAATAGGATGATCAATAACAAATAATGTACACCGTATTGATGAAAAACTCCGTGAAGATTAAGATATATGCAACCTTGTCTCTAGTTCTCTACATTTGAAAATAAAAAAGTTACCTTGTCTCTAGTTCTCTACAGTCACTGAATTATAAAAAAGTTAGTTTTAAAACGATACTTTTAACATACTACTTTCGTACTTCATGTTATCGAAATCTAGTTTAGCCAAATTAGAACGAAGTGGACATGACACCAACATACTTTGTAAGCTACTCAGGTAGAACACTTACAATTCAATTATCAAATTGTGCAGTGCAAAATGACTAATAATATATGCATATTAATATGAAATGGAGGAAGTATACATCATATAGATCGATATTACAAGTATATGATCATGAGAATAGTTGTCAATCTTATCAGCAGCGTTTCCATAAGGAGAGGGCACAGATAGTTCTTCCCTTCCAACCTTGGAGCATCCAATACTTGTCTTCATCCACGAAAAAGTCTTTAAGATAATTTGCCTTTACCATGGCCTTTGTTTTACTCACAAACTCCCTATCTAATGGTACCTGCTGCAGTCCTGCCCTTGATGAACGCTCCTGCCACTTTTTGTATGTTTCGGGCCTTTGTACTCTCTCCACACCCTCGCACGCAACAACATTTATGATTTCTTTCCCATACATCTCACTCTCAATCAACAGTCTTTCATGTGCATTGCGAGGTAAAGTTGCATCAAGCACTTCGAATGCAGAAGAATAGTGAAAGAGCGCCTCCTTAAATCGAGTGATGAAGAACGGAGTAGTGAATGTACCGTTCACAATTCCATGTATGAAAAGATTGGGATTAATATGTCTTATCAACCTTAAGAATGCATCTTTCGGACAATTTTGTCCAACTGTCTCATCAAGTAGTGTTCCAGACCTGAACATACAGTTCACAATCACCATTTCGTCACCCTCTATCTTCAAGTCTTCTAGCTGTATATTTTCCCATTTCTCAGCTATGCCCTGATACTTGAAGGGAACACCAAATCTTTTACAATAACCAGCTAGCCGGTGCCCTGTAGCATCAACCCTTTCTGCTGGCCGAAAACCCTGCTGAGGAAAGTCTATTCCTGTAATACGAAGTTCTGGTGGACCATTTGGTCTTTTTGAGAGTGTTTGTATGAAGGAGGGCCACTGTAAACCCAAAAATATACCAAAATCAATGATGTGGATTTTGGTTGCTTTCACAGCCAACTTTAAAATAGTGTTGTTAGCCTGAATATAAGACATTCTTTTGAAAGGAATAGCTGAGACATAAAGCCGGTAGGAGTTTAAGAAATCGAATGATGAGATTTTCATATCACAAATATCAGTAGAAATGGTTGAACCAGTGCCTGCTAAACGCGCCTCAAGACCATTAGCAACATGATGGGCAATCCTTTGGATGCTATCACCATGTGGCGAGGAATACTGTCTAATCTGCTTAAGAAGCTCATTAGACGTCCTACGATCAATATTTGAAACCGCTTGTGCACATTCAATCAAAAGATTCCTTAAATCCACTTCATCTACCTTGATGTTTTGCTTCTTCCCTCTTGCACCTCTACTCCCATGACCCTTTGTCTTCGACAATTTACCGCGTGCCTCGACAGCTGAACATTCTTTGGGACTTAAAGAGGCATGCATCTTGTTTTCATTACAAAGCAATACATCATCATACTGCTCCAACTCAGCATAATCTTCACTGCTAGTTGCTTGAAGTTTGTTACACCTTCCTCCTTCATAATCAACATCATCCCTTTGACGACTTTTCTTCCTCCTCGAGCCCTTAACCGGCTTCTCCCCTTTCTTGGAAGTAGTTGATAAGGGCTTCTTAGAGACAACAACATCATTTACTTCCTCATCATCGCCATCCTTAGAGCTCGAGCCAGAGGGTTGAGGATTCAATTCCAAGAAGGATTGAACAAAGTCATCCACATTGACAGTAGTGAGGTCTAATTGAGGTTGGCTGGGACCCCAATTGGACTCAAAAGAGCTAAAACTATTTCCGGAAGAGCTGTCATCTAGGGATATAGTGTTTCGATCCGAAGATGACGGGAAACAATCAGGTGAAGGAGTGTATAAATGCTGAAAAGGGTATGACTCCCCAAGAGCATCATATAATGATTTCTCAGTGGCTTGGAGAGCCCAATGCTCTTGTGCAGAGGCAGGATTTTCATCCAAATCTTCTTTTAAGAGAATATCACTAATGTATTTAAGGCAATGATTGGGAATTTTCAAACAACTATTATTGCTCTCATTCTGATCAAGTGGAGAAGTATTTTCACTAATCAAATGAGGAGCTTCTAAACTTACTTGACTCTCATGTTTCTCAAATTCAGGGTTTTGAAAGAAATTTTCATAAGTTGGGTTTGAACCCATTTCTGGATTTATTTTGAAGACAAAGTTCATGGGATGAGTGTCAACAAGTACAGAATTCATGAACAAAAAAAAAAAAAAAAAACAAAAAAAAACAGAGTATAAATGGTTTTCCACAAGCAAATGATCAAACAGGTGGTGGGTATCACAGAAAACCCAAACCCAGTAACAAAAATAGCCAAAAATCAATCAAAAAAACAAGAAATTTAGGGATAAATTAACAAATTGAAATGTAGTTAGAAGAGTGGTGACCAATAAGCCGAAGAAAAATGAGGAAAATAATGAACATGTACTGAAGAATGTGGGTATGATTCGATTAAAACCGGTATATAAATAGATAGAAATATGAAACTGAACTGTAATACGTAGTACGTATGTACGTAGTATGAAGTTTCATGGAAGGAGCTACAAATGGAAATCGAGACATTTAAATATGGTCAATGTGACTTAGAAAAATGGCGATATGGAGTATATACTTAAATGGCAATAACGCTTGACCATATTTAAATGGGTATAAATCATAGGTTATATCTGATTTGCATATGAGTACAAATTCCATAAGTATATCGTTGATCTTAATATGTTAAATTAATAAATATATTGTCATAAATCTTGAAGATAAACTCTAAAACCCTCAAACTTATTGAATGACACTCCATAATATTTCGTACATAATAATTATTTTATATGGAGTGATTAATCTATTTTGATGTATTATCTTCTTACAGTCAATTCATGTAAGCAAAACTTAGTCTAGTGGAAAAGTTTGCATCTCACAATCAATAGTTTATTGGATCAAACCCTACCAGAGGCACTTTGGGGTGGGCCGAGGATTCCCTTACCCTTCTCCCTCACTTTCAAAGTGCCTAACCTGAACCGAAAGGACATGTGAGAGGTTCTGGCCCGATAGAGTCTTTCTCCTTACTAACCCAAAAAAAAAAAAAATCATATAAGCAAGGCATACGATGATAATAAAAATGATTTTAATAATTTTTTATGTTTTTCGATATCTTGGTTTTGTTCACTTCCTTCTCCTGAAAATGAGGTGTTTTTTATTAAGCCTTAACCTTACATGTATGTCAATATATAAGAAAAACCCTTCCCAAATGAAATTTTGTTATATATGTCTTAATGTGTACATTTTTCATTTGCAACATTTCAATAGGTACATTATTCCCATACTCAACTTAAATTATCTTTCATGAAACATATATACAGGAAAAAAATAGTTATATGAGACCTTGTTAAATTCATCTTAGTATCTACTTAATTTATTAATCTAATGTACATAATTTTTACAAATGCATGATAAAAAATGTATACGATTGAATTTATACATCGACAAACATGAAAAAATGTTATAAGACATGTTCCCTTCAATTTAAAATAATACATTTAGTAAAAATAATTTCACATCAATAAAATTAAATTTTGTTCTTCAAAAAAAAAAAAAAAGGTTTTGTTCAACAAATTAAAATTAGTTTTAATTTAATAAAAAATTAAAAATACTTTGTTTTAGAATATCTTAAGATTCCAAATAGGACAAAAAATGGAGGGACGGAGTATTATTTTAAATTATTCAACAAACCCGCGTACGAACATACTCCGTAATATTTTTACATATATGGCTTAATTGTCTACCTCGCAGGTCAAAGTGTTGCATAAAAAAAAAGATGGGGGGTATGGCGGTAAGAAAATAAAAATAAGAAGAATCGATCTAGTTTGGTTTGATCTAAGCTTTTTTTTATATGATTTTCAAAAATAATACTATGTAATAAATAATGAAAATGAGGTGTCTCATAATAATTAGAAGAAAATCTATAAGCCTTATGTTGGATTGTAAAGGTACCTGCTCAATCTATGTGAGTGTATTTTGTAAATATTTTATGAATAAATAATGGTGATCCTATAAACCAGAGAGCTTATGTCCAAAAGAAAAGCTACAAAACAAAAAATTTATAATGTATGACATCCAAATCCAACACCTTTTGTTTCCGGACTAAGTATCTAGACATGAATGTTAGTTCTTTGTCTTAATTAATGCTAATCAGGTAGCTAACCTCTTACATTTTTTATTTTATTTTATTTATTTATTTATTTTTTTTTTTTTTTTGAAACATAACCATCTACACTTAGAATAATCTAATAATACTTTACGCTCTAGGTCTCATTTAAGTGGTGAAATTAAGTACTCCTATTATGGTGCATGTATTTGGCCTTATTGGGTTAGCATAAAGGGGATCAATAATCCATAAAAAATACTCGTAATATAATAATGTGAGATCTTATTGAATTTTTTATTTTAGTGTTTATTATATATTATAATATCACATTTTATTTATTTATAACAGAAATAAGAGTAAGATGTTAGAAAACATGGTTCACGATGAAAATTCATTATGCTCAGAAAGAGTTAAGATATAATTTTTATACTACCACTGTATAAATGACTAACACTAAGCAATGCAATCCATTGTTTAATTTGCCTCCCAATTGATGTGTCGCAGGCTTCAATTATTGAACTTGTTGAGAAGGGAGCATGCTTGTACATGCACAAATAAATGCATTGAAACTTTTAATTGAAAAATAAGTATACTCAACTTTTGTTGATTATAGTGAGAGTATATTTTATTTGATTGTGTTTGGCTGCCAAAAAAACATCTTGATAGTGGTCAAATTAAGCCAATGCATTCGTTAATTTAAAAAAAAAATTAAAAAAAAATGATATATATAGTCCTGTAAGGGGTAAAGAAAAAAAACTGAGTGCTATAAATTGCAGTTGTTAGATACATGGAATCTTGCAGTCTCTACAATTCTATAATTAGTTAACAAATAATTAGATTAACTAATTGAAGTTCTGACCTAAGCAAATGGCAACTTAGCCGCCGTCCCACATTATTTTTCAAACTCATGGAGTCATGGTGCACAATTTAAGGGCATTAATTTCCAAAAAAAAAATTAAGGGCCTTATATTTACTTAATCTTTGGAAAAATATATGGTGGTCATGGTGTAACACTTAAAAAAACAAAGGGAGTATACAAGGTAACATATCTCATTTATTGCTTTAAAAAAAAATTACTCTATATGAAAATAAATTTATTACAGTATACAAGATTTCTATGATTTGAATAGGGAAGGGTGACTTGGTTGTTATTGAACACTTATGTAGAACTGGCAAACAGGTCGTTTGGGTCGGGTCAAGAAATATTTGGCTCAGGTTTGGGTCGGGTCAATTTGGGCTTCGGGTTAAATTCGGGTCAATACTTTGGGTTAAATTCGGGTCGGTCAGTTTTTAGGACCAATTTTCGGGTCGAGTCAATTCGGGTCGGGTCAAGTTTGGATCAAGTCACCAAAATAAATTCACTTAAAAAAATAGTTGGAAAAAAAGTAAAATCGTGAGTACCTATTACTTAAGAAAGAAAGAAGCCCTAAAATAAGTAATTCACCATTTCACCTGATGCGAGAGCAACAGTCCTTGAAAATTCATGGAATTTTAGAAAGCCTACACTATCTTTTAGTTATTATTAATCACTAGGATTTTGCCTATGGGTTTTTACCTTTCACTTGAAAGGATTTTTCCTTTTAAGCTTTAAGAGTTTTAGTTATTAGGATATTTGTCTGTTTATTAATTTATTTATGTTAGGATAGATTTAGTAGTTGGTTACAAATAAGATTAGGAGATGTATTAGGATTAGGATTCTTAATATTCTATCGAATTAGGATATGTTTATTAGTTTTCTATCTTATCTTTGTACGATTTTTCACCCTATAAATATGGGTGCATATCAATAATGAATAATGAATGATGAGAGATTTGTTTTGAGAATTAATCCTTGAGCGTTGCTCGTTTGATTGTTAATCAAAAACATCACATGTTGCGACTTGTGATCATCTTTTAATTGCGACTAGGAAAAGACCCTCTATTATTTTTGCGAGAATTAGAGTACTATCCTTTTAATTCTCGTGTAATTTCTTTAGTTCTTGTTAAATCCGAAAATCTAATGTTTTTTTGGTAAATAGAATTGTATTACCAAAAGAGGCTGCTAAGCAGCACAAGAAAACAAGTAAAAGGGAGCTAAAAGGCTAACCAAACCACCAAACACCAAAAGCCCGAAGGGCACACAACCACCAGCCGAGGGTACAAAACAAAGGCTACCTTATAGGAGGGGTTCCTTAGTAAATGTACCCAAACAAAGGCTCTTCTGAACTCAAAGGAAGGAACGACCCTCTAGGAGGGCGATTCCGACCCAAGGATCAGGACATCACACAAAACAAACAGGCTGAAAATACAAAGGCAAAACCAGCCAACAAACCGAGACAAACAACAAAAACTAACAAAATCAAACATCCAACAACAAAGAAGAACAAACATCCAATACAAAAACTAATGAAGCAACTAGCAAGATATCAGCACCAGCAAATCCAACTTATCACACCGAGAGCCAAGGCAGTAGCACAAAGAAAGAAGCTTTATGGGCTGATCCAACAAGCAGCAACCACAACAAGGCTTCACAGCAAACCAACCATCCACCAGCACCTCCCAGAACCCCATAACAGCAATACAACCCTGACTCAGCTCAAAATCAGCAAAGAACCAACTTCATTCCAACCCAAGCAGCAAGACAACAACCTTAATTAGGCAGAATTAAAGCCTGCTTATCAATATCCAAACAGCGACAGGCTACCTTGAACATAATTTCTCTAAAAGCAGAATCAACATCAAGACAATTACCTTAAAACATTGTTCTTATAGCTTGCGAGCCTTGTGAGAGTCTTGAGAGTGAGATCCGATATTATTATAGCTTGCGAGCCTTGTGAGAGTCTTGAGAGCGAGATCCACATCATCACCCTATTCACTTCAGGATTCTGGTCACTTTGAGTCGGGTCAATTCGGGTTGCGTCACTTCGGTCGGGTCGATTCGGGTCAATCAAATCGGGTTTAAATCGGGTCGGGTCAAGTTCGGGTTTCGGGTCAATTTTGGGTCGGGTCATTCGGGTTGGGCCATTTCGGACATCGGGTCACTTTCGGGTCAACTCCGTTTCGAGTCGAGTTCGGGTCGGGTCGGGTTAGTTCGAGTTCGGGTCATTCGGGTCAGGTCAGGATTGCCAGGTCTATAATCATCCTTTACGAGATGTAAATTTTCAATACAAGTACTTCGTACTAAACACCCCTAAACTAACTAATGTCATCGCTTTTGAACAGGCCTAGAATAGTTTTAGATGTCTCCATTGATGTATATTCGTGAAAGTGATAAAATTTGAATGATGCTCAAGATTGACAAATTTGCAAGATAAGTCGTCTAAATCTACAACCCTAGACCCAGAGACGCATAAGTCCAAAAATCTGCATGATGTATATTTTAGATTTGTATCGATACACACATGAAAAACTAACAACAAACAAAACTTAATCGTGAGTCCATCTAACTAAACCCTAAATAGAAGGACTGTATATAATCACCATACTACTAATGATTTTTACTTGAAGAAAAATTTGGGACTTATCATCGTTTAATTTTTTAATTTATTGATATTATCCCCTAAGTTTATCTAGATCTTTTTAAGGGTTTCTTATATTTTGCAGGCATATATATATATATATATATACTCATCACCTTTTCTTTTATTACTCCAATTTTTTTTTATTTTTTTTTTAAGAGCCAATAACTTTATAATTTTGACATCATTTAAGTCTATTTGAATATTTTTGTCTATTTGAATATTTTTTCCCTCCAAAAGACCTTAAAATCCCGCCCATTTCCTTCTTGTTTTTTTTACCTACCTATATTTTTGGTTAAGAGATATTTGTGGTTATTTTTTTTTAACCTTTATCACCTATTTTTTGGTAAAGAGATATTTATTGTTGTTTGGCTAAGTACAATATGGTAATACGTTAGGATACATTAAATATTTATTTATTTTATTTACCTTTATCATCTACCTATATTTTTTGGTTAAGTGATATTTATCTAGCTATTTATTTATTTAATCACCTACCTATTTTTTTGGTTAAGAGATATTTATTGTTATTTGACTTCTAATATAATGTTATAAATATTACTATTGTGTTATACCAGCCAAAACAACAATATTTCGTCAATAGTATATTCAAGTAGTTTTTTTTTTCTTCATATATTCTAATAACAACTAATCTGAATATGTTAACACTAAGATTTTTTTGTCATAGACGTACTAAGTTAACAGTTCGGACATCGCACGGGTATTACCTAATACTTGTATAAATCATCACTTAAAAGTCATGTCAATAATGGCATGTGTCAAAATTAGATACAGAATTTCCCACCATTACTTTTTTAAACTAAACTAATAATATTCAATATGTTTGTTATACGTAGTATTTTATTTTGTGCATTATGATTCCAAATTATTCTTGTCCACCTAATGTGTATATGTTACATATTTATAACAATGATTCTAATAACTTCCATTAGCTAATAAATTGGTGGTATATAATAAAGTTGCAACTATTTTTTTTTAATTATAATGCAACTCTTTTGAAAAATAGAAGTACAATTCAATGGGTGTGTTTGGCAAAATATAATTGTGAAGCTAGTTGAAGCTATGATAGTAGTTGTAAGTTGTGCAACTAATTGTTAGATGTCAACAAGCTATTAACTATGAAAATAAATAATTAAAGTATGAGTGTTCAATAATTAAAATGGCAGTTGATTAACCTTTCTAAAATACTTTTTTATTAATTCAGGATTAACTGAAGTAGACATGACTACATGAGACCACCATAGTCTACCTGTCTAAGGCTATTTTGGTCAAGCCATACCTACAAAAATGGCCCAATCAATCTGGCTAGGACCACAATCAAACCAAACTTGGGCCGAATCGAGAAAGTAGAACGGCTAAAAAATTATGCTAGTCTTCAATTGTTCATGGTTATCCCTAAATAGTGAGGAAGCAAAAGTGTTGGACTTTAAAATAAGCAGCAATTTTAAGTATATACTCCCCCCGTCTCAATATATAGTTCCTATTTGTGATTTTTAACGGTATTTAAAAAATAGAGGAGAAAGTGAGTAAAGTACATTTTAAAAAAAAGGGTGAAAAGTACAATTATAGACAAAAGTTAGAGAAGAAAGTGAATAAAGTACAATAAAAAAGTTAAAAAGAACAATTATAGACAAAAGTTAGAGAGAGAAAGTGGAAAAAAGTACAAAACAAGTGGAAAATTTAAGGGTAATTTAGGAAGTAAAATGAATAAATTTTTAAAAAAATTAGAGTATAATGGTCTTTATATAATATTCAAAAATAGAAATAGAAATAACATTTTGATTCTCCAAAATAAAAAAGCAGAAAGTATAATATGGGACAGAGGGAGTACTAACAAATAACAATATAATATCACCTATTAAAAGCTTACTATCTACCATCTACACAATGCAATTGTACAAAATGGTCAGTAATATGACAATTGACAATAAACTCAGCTAAAAACATACAAAAACAAGAACTCTTTAAGTAGGTTTCCAACAAGAAATGGCATATAAGATCCTCCCTTTCCATCCTTGGACCACCCAGTTTCCATCTACATCATAGCTAAACTCTTCACTAAAGCTCCTCTTGACCATAGCCCTTGCTCTTCTCAATAATTCGCGGTCTAATCCTACTTGCTCAAACCCTGCCCTTTGAGTCCGAACTTGCCATTGTTTATAGCTTTCAGGCCTCTCAACCCTCTCTATACCTTCACATGCTATTATATTCAATGCTTGAGGCCCGTATAGCTTGCTTTCAAGTAACAACCTCTCATTATCTTCCTTACTCATTGTAGACTCGAAGATATCAAACAAGGCTGAGTAATGAAACATGACCTCCTTGAATCGATTTAGGAAGAATGGAACACTCGATGTGCTATTCACAACCGCGTGAATGAATATATCAGGATTGATTTTCCTAACCAATTTCAAAAATGCATCCCTTGGACTGTTTTCCTCTACACTTTCATCAAATAGTAAGTGTGCCCTGTACAAGCAGTTTACCACAAGAGGCTCATTTCTCTCAATCTTTAGCTCTTCAAGTTGTACATCCTCCCATTTCTTTGCTATCGGATAATACTCAAAGGGCACATTGTACTTCTCACAATACTTGGCTAAACACCTCCCTGTCTCCTCAACCCTTTCTGCAGGCCGGAAACCACGTTGAGGGAAGTCAATCCCGGTGATTCGTATCTTTGGAGGACCATTAGGCCTCTTGGAGAGATTCTGAATTATGCAAGGCCATTGAAGACCATAATAAATCCCAAAATCAATTATGTGAATACTTGGTGCTTCCTCAACTAGTCTAGCAATTGTCTTGTTCATAGTGTAATAAGACATTATCTGAAACGGTACTGATGCAACATAAATCCGATTAGCTTTAAGCACCTCAGACGGAGAAATCTCCTCATTAGCATGAGTCAATTCCAACCCTTTTCCCTCCAGCCGCGCCTCAAGGCCATTAGCAAGATAATGAGCAACTCTTTGTAGGAAATCTCCATAAGGTGATGAATGTTCCCTAATCTGCTTAAGCATGTCATAAGCACCAGATAAGCTCACCTGCGCGACACATTGAGCACACCGCGTTAAAAGCCCCCTCAAATCAGGAGCCTGTACCTTGTTATTGCCTCGTTTCTTCGAGCCCTTCGAAGAATCACCTGAATTCTGTGTCCTGCTACTGCTATTACACAGTGCACCTGGCTTACTTCTACCTTCAGGGCAGAGTATCACATCACCATATTGCTCAATTTGCTCAATAACTTCATCATTACAAGGTGCTATATTCTTGTTCTTTCTCTGATCACCATTTTCTTCAATATCATGCTTCCTTCTCCTAGTACTATCAGTATAACTCTGATCACCTTTTTCACATATTGGTGCTTCTAAATTCTCCACTGTGCTTACATTATGACCACTCACTTGGTCTTGAAAAAGATAATTATTGTCATTTATTATAAATCCAAAACCAACCTCATAAAAGTGGATCGACTCTCCTCCTCCTCCCCCAATCAAATCCCCAGGGGCCGGATTCAGACCGGCCCCATGGGATATTGATTCATTCATGGGTGAACTTCTAACAAAAGTAGACCCAAAATTATCATTATTACCAAAATTAGGGGCATAGGAAAATGGAATATTAATGTTATTATTGCTAGAAAACATATCAAGGTAATCATCTAAGCAATGGGGAGATGTCTGACAAATATCAGGAGGAGGGCATTGATTATGCATATAATCATGATTAGCTGAAAATGAAATTGAAAAATTCTCACCAAGATGAAGGGCAGCATCTAAGGACTTGTTGTAGGACAATTGAGCAGCCATATAATCTTCAAGGGTTGAATTTGGGGTATGAAAATTATCATCTGGGGAGCAATATTCTTCCCGTAAAAGATCATTTATGTAATTAAAACAAGTATCTGGGATTGCAGGGATTTCTGTTGGGTCATTTGGTAGTAAATTTCCCAAATTATTTGGGACATGTATTTGACATTCATCAAAAAAAGTATGCTCATGAAATTGATCAGAAATATTGTTGTTACTATTGTTAGCAATGTTATTTCCAAATTGATGATTGTAACTTGGAAATGATGGTTCAGCATTTTCTTCATCACCCAGAAAAGGGTATGATATTTCTGGGTTAAAACCATAAAGATTCATGTTTTTTCTGTTGTTTTTGGTGAATTGAATCAGAAAGGAAGAATATTGAGGTCAAAAGAGGTCTAATGGAGGAATTTAGTGGGAAGAACAGTAGGAGGAAAAGTGGGAGCAGCATAAAGGTTAAAGTTAAAAGGGTGTGCACTTTACTAGAATATTTGGATGTGTGAAGTGGGAATCAGATTATGAAGGTTACTCCCTTGGTCCCGTCTCTTGATATTTGCCCCATATCTCAACCTTCGCTTTGTAAAATGATATATTGCTAAGTTATGCACAGCGGAAATACTTTGTGATAATCTTGATTTATTAACTTGAATGTACAAGAAAGGTATATATATACATGTGATACTCTAAAAGATAAATCTAGCTAAGGCCTTGTTTAGTTCAGCTTATTTTTACTTATTTCAGAAAAAATAAGTTCAGATCAGAACATCGTTTTATGTGCGGTTTTTTATCGCTAAATATTCTTAATTTCGTAATGAAAAAAATTGTGAAAATTACATATTAATAAACTACACATTATTACGATCTAATAAGATCTCACTTGATATATTTTTTCTTTATAGATTATCGTACATTTAAGGTCAAAGTTTGGTCAAATCAGATAATCAGATCAGATTAGACCAGACCAGATCAGATCAGTAAAAATAAGGTGAACCAAACAAGGCCTAAATACTATCCAAATACTATCCAAATACTATCAATATTATCATATATCTCCTATAACTCTATCTTCTTTCTTGATCTTGATCCATGTTTATCGTATTATATATACTCCATAATTTGTAACGAGTTGATAACTACTAATTTTTTTCTCTAACACATAGATTTGAAAAGAAGTGAAGATTAATAATAAAAGCTCTATATTAATAATAATCTAAAATAAAAGTGGAGCAAATTTAAATAAACAAATTTAGAAGAATATCAAAATAATACTAAAACGACCAGAAATAGAAAAGTGGAGCAAATAATTAAAAACGGATGGAGTACAATGACATCCAATCAATCAATAGCTCGCTAGTTGCGATCACGTTACCCTAACCATTTTTTCATACTTAGTTTTTCGTTCAAATTAAAATTAATACATACGGAGAAGAAGCCACGCATTGTTCCCAAGCAAAAAGTAGTAAAATTTTGGAGAAGTGGGTCAGAGTCTTTGAGAACATAGAGATTGTGGCGTTGCCATTAATCCCATTATAGAGGTAGTGAGGTCGGATCCCTTAATATTAATTGGTTTAATCCGTTTTTTATGTTTGATATTTTGTATTCACCATTTACTTTAATTTGTTCTTGTCATGATAAGTCATGGTTTGCATCATTCAAGGACCAAAGATAAGAGATTGAACTTCGAAAACTTCGCCAACTAAATTATTAATATTTATATAAATTTAATAACACTTGCAATTATTAAAGAGAATAATGACTTTGCAATTCAATGAAGCTAATATAAGCAAGATCTCGTCATAAATTTATTTATTTTCTTAAAAAAAATAAAATGAAGCAAGTTGTTGTCGATTTCCCCCTACGTGTTCATTTGGATAGACAAATAATGAATCTTAAATTACTATATAAGGTATAGGAATTATTATTTAAAGGGGAAATTACTTTACTAGGGAGCATTAATTAACTTATAAAAGGTCTAGGTCCTTTTAAAAGTGATTATTCCTATTCCTATTCCTATTCTTCATGAGTTGGTACCGACTATCAAATCAAATCCGCTTTAATTTAACATTAGAGGTTTCTTCTGTTCCTTTAATACAAATATTCAAAATAATTTCAATTCAGTAAAATTAATTTTAGTTCAGTAAAAATAATTTTAGTTCACCAAAAATAGTAACTCTAAAGAAGAAATAATATAGAGAATCTGTAAAAAAATAATTTCAGTTCAACAAAATTAATTTTAGTTCAGTAAAAATAATTTAATTTCAGCAAAAATAATCTCAGTTCAGTAAAATTGATTTCAGTTCAACAAAAATAAGGTGAAATGCAACATGGAAATAAACACGAATTTTTTTTTAAAAAAGGATAGAGATAGAGAGGAATAAATATAGAAACTCATATGGTAAAAAGAGGAAAAAAAGAAAACATGTGCAAATAAAAAACATGTGAAATTTCCTAAAATGCTAATAGTTGCAATATTAAAAGAACGAATGAAGCAAAAAGAACATCACAATAAAATAAGAAAGACACATGACCATCATTTAGATGGACATTGAGGCTTGCCCCACTTTCTCAACAAAAAAAAAAAAAAAAAGGGTTATTCTACGTAGTAACCATGTGGTATTCACTTTTCCAAATTGTGCCCCACGCTTTTCGAACTTCTATGTTGTAATCTCAAAGTACATTAAGTGACTATGTTATAACCTTGCCGTTATCCTACCGTTAACGGATACCGTTAGTGGAACCCACTTTGCACTTTTTAATATTTTTTCTCGATTTGTGTGCTGAAAAATTATGTCGTTAAAGGTTTTAAGGGTCATTTTGACTTTAAAGACCCAAATTGAGCTCAGCAAAAGGGGGCCATGGGGTAAGAACTGCAAACACTTTTCTAAATACGGAACTTCGACCTGCATCTTTCAATGGAAGCTTATCAAGTATCACATGGAGAACGAGTTCCGGCAACCACGAGATCCGATCCACGCTTTCATTCTTGCTCACAACGCACATCCTCTTCTCACATAACCTTAAAGCTACCCGATCTTCTCTGTTCTCCATCTCGTTTTCTTTGGGAAAATAGAATATCAACCAGCCATACGTAATTTTAGCTCAGCAAAAGCTCCAATTTCATACTTTCATCCAAACATCAAATCTAAATTTAATTCCATTATCAAATTAGCCTCGAAAAAGGTACAATTAGATAGTTCCATTCAAACATCATATGTAAATTTAATTCCTTTATCAAATTAGGATAAAAAAAATCATATAATTTTAAGTAAAAAAAATAGATCCAATTACACAGTTCTATCCAAAAATCAAAGGTAAATAATTCCATTATCAAATTAGGCTCGAAAAATCAAACAAGTGTAATTTTAGGTAAGAAAAAAAGTCCAATTTCATAGTTTCATCCAAACATCAAAGGTAAATTTGATTGAGCTATGAGATTAATATCGAAAAGACACATAATTTGGTTCTCTAGCAACAATATTGATCGTTGTAATTCATAAAAATATCACAAGTCGCCCCGATGTGAAGTCGCGCTTCAATGGGAAAACTTAGAGAAACAGTTTGACAATTTTTTTTTTAACAAACTGTATATTTATAAGACTGTACTACTTCCGTACTTCGTATCTATTTATTTGATTGTGTTTTTCTTTTTTTTTTTAGGAATATTTTATTGTGTTTTATATAGAGTATATGATGATATTTTTACATATCTTTTTAGTTATCTAATATAATTAGAACTCTGAATTCTCAATATAACCTTATAAATATTGATCAATGAAAAATCACTCTTATTATTAAGGAAGAGTGATTAATGATATTCTAGTTATCTAATATAATTAGAATATATGATGATATTTTTACATATCTTGTTAGTTATCTAATATTGATCAATGAAAAATCACTCTTATTAGAACTCTCTATGTAACCCAACTTGACATTAATTAATGAAATTGCTCTGTTTTCCTAAATAAAAAAAAAAAAAAAGTTTACTTCTCCTGAAAGAGTCTTAATAGTAGAAGAAACAGCTGATGGTGAAGTCCAAATATCAGACAATGACAAAGCGGCGAGGATGAGTTTATATTATCTAACATGATATTAGAGCCGGTGGATTAGATAATTAAACCACCGACGCGATATATACAATTTTTTATGCTTCTCCAAAATGCACAAATATAGATTTTTTTTTCTTTCTCAAAGTTTTTATTTTTTTTTAAAAGAATATGTATGTGGATGAATAGACCGATTTCCCACAATATTGTTAAATAAAAAATAAACTCCCTTTAATCATTGGTTTAAAAACAAATTTCCCACATACGTCGTCCATGTAAGATCGGTGTTAGGCGCTATTTTTTTTTTCTTTTGGTTCAGCTTAAACCACTATTACGATAAGCAGTTCCAAAAAAGAGATTGTATTTTAGTAATTTTACTAAGAAGCGGTCTCTTTGCCACTTAATTGATTAACTGCTTCCTTAGCCGAAATTCGGAAAGACATCGCCAACATTTACATTGATAAGTTCAAAAGGACTAGATTTCAGTAGCAACAGGTCTCTTGCCTTTATTTTAAAAAAAAATTAAAACCGCTAATAATCTCTTTGCCTTTATTTTAAAAAAAAAAATTAAAACCGCTATCAATTAAATTGCCTAAAACTATGTGCCGATCAGAGTATGGACGGTACTTTGGGAATTTGTTTTCAAATCGGTGCATAATAAGAATTTATTTTTTCTTCAACATTATTGAGGGAAACAACTCGAATACATACTACTCTCTAAAAATTTCCAAATTCACTATCCCATCGAGTCATAAATTTCAATATTATCTATCCAATTACTTTCAATTCCCTAAATATTTAATAACTTCACCCAATCATATATGGTGCACAAAAAAAAAAAAACCTTCCACTGTTTACTACTACCTCCGTTTTTTTAGTTTTGTGATTTAGTGTTAGATAAAAATATAGTTAGTTGAAGTCTTGATAGATTTGTCTCAATGTCTATTTTTCAAATATCAAAATTTTAAATTGTTGCTCATACGTAATTAAAAATTTCAACATTTATAAGCGTTTGTTGACAAACATGCCTAATGAAATTATTTTGTCAACTTTTAACAACCCTTAATTATTCATATCCTATTAAATTCGAAGGATATATATAGGGCATGCAATGTTCAGCAGTAGTGTTTATGTACCTTTTGTGTAGCTTTTAATGTTTTGACTTGGTCAAAACACTGTATGATTAAAAACTTGTGTGTTCGATGACGTAGTGGTAAAAGTAGCTTTTAGCGGTGAAAGTAGCTTTTGCTAAAAGTTACAATGTTTAACTCTTAACCCTCTATTTTAAACATTTAATCTTAATCGTTTAAATAATCTATTAAAACAAATAAAAAATAAAAATTCTTCCCAAATAATTCTTTCTTATAACAAATTAAATTAAAAAAAAAAAAATTATTACTGCTAGTAGTACTAGAAAACTAGGGTGTACTATTCATCTTATTTTAACCTATCATATCTTATCCGTATTTTCATGAGTTTAACTGAACTTATTTAAGTTGTAATTTATATTTGGATAACATTTATCAAAACCTATTTTTTTTTAATTAAATCTAATTGAATTAATTTGAACTTATTACACCTGAATAAATTTAGATAAAGTGAACTGAACATACCCTAATA